CATGCATGGCAACAAGCACCCCCATGCACTGAATCGTCTCCCTGGGCCCCAAATCTAGGCTGTGAGAGTTGAGGAAATGTTAAAAACAGGTGCTGTTGAACAACCCACCAGAGTGGATGCTGATATCAGCAGAGCGACAGAACTTGAGACAGAGAGAGCCAAGTGCTAAAATCTCCAGGCTGTGGAGAATGGCCCAGAGCTGACAGATGCCAGCAGATGGCTTCAGTCTCAAAGGAGCAGAGGACTTGTTTACAGTGGGATTGCAGGGGATAGTGGGGGGGGCGGGGACTGAGGTCAAGCCAGAGGAGATGCCTCTGAAAGTGGGTGAGATTGTGTCATCTTCAAACTGGGGAAGATCAGCAGGCTTCTTTTACATTCAAAAGCAGTGGGGCTGAGGACATAGCTCAGTGGCAGAGTGCACATTTATGGATTAGGCCTTGGATTTAATCCTCAACCCCAAAAGAAATAAAGACAAACAAAACCTGGATCTGCCCTTTGGGTTTTCTATTCCCCCATCCCCCAACCCTTGCATTCTGGTCAGAGGATTAATAATTCCTCCTCTAACATTCAAAATTAAGGTTTTCTTTTAAAAATACGCAAGTTGCTAGAAAACATGGTGTTTCCTACAATGTAAAGCATGCTTCTGTGTATATACATATATGTGTGTGTATATATATTTATATATATATATATATGTGTGTGTGTGTGTGTGTGTGCAACCATTTCAACATTGAATTTTCCTTTTTGGATGGTAGCTCATTTTTTTAACTTGTAAACATAAATATTCACTGAAATAACATAATTCTAAATATCTTGATGATTGAATGAGGTCATGCGGTTAATTTGTTTGTATTACATCCCAGTAATTTGAAAGATCTATTCCTGTTCTTTTTTAAACATTCCATCATTTCCCCTTCGCTTTCCCTCTCCAAGCCCTCCTATGGACCCCTGACCTTACTCTCTTTCAAACCCAGGGACTTTTTTTCTTTAATTTTTGTTGCTGGGGTGTGTGTGTGTGTGTGTGTGTGTGTGTGTGTGTGTGTGTCTAAACATATAAATACAACCTGCTCAATCCGGGTAATGTTACTTGTGTGCTTGTTTTCAGGGCTGACCACTCGGAATGGTTGTTCCTAGGGAAGCCCACGTCTCCCGCTCTCAGCATCCTTAGTTGCCTGGAATTCTTTGTCTAGGGTTGAACACTAACTTCCCCATTCCCATCAGCGTGTCTATTGGTGTGGTCCTTGTTCAGGCTCTGTTATTTTTAATTACATATCCTTCTGTCTACATGTAAGTGTGTATATTTGAATGCAGTTGCCCTCCAAGGGTAGAGACATCTGATTCCCCTGGAGCTGGAGTTACAGGCAGTTGTGAGCCAACATGTGTGCTGGAAACCTAATTTGGGTCCTCAGAGAACAGCTCGCACTTGTACCACTGAGCTGTCTCCCAAGTTCCCATATCCCGGTAAAATCTTGAAAAACTTGCACTAAGTAATCTTCTCAACATTGCATTTTCAACCACAAAAGGCTTGTTTTTAAAAATCATACTGGCAAAACCAGTGAGATGGCTCAGCAGGTAAAGGCACTTCCTACCAAGCCTGAGGACCTGAGTTCGATCTTGTCTTAGGGTTTCTGTTGATGTGAAGGGACACCACAGCCATGGCAACTCTTAGAAAGGAGAACATTCAGGTGAAGTGTCAGCTTACAGTTCAGAGGTTCCGTCCATTATCATCATGGCCAGGAGCATGGCGGTGTGCAGGCAGACATGGTGCTGGCTACATCTTGATTAGGAGGCCACAGGACATGGACTGTCTCACTGAGCATGGCTTGAGCATATATGAACCCTCAAAGCTGGCCTCCACAGCGACATACTTCCTCCAACAAGAACATATCTACAAACATACCATAACTCCATCAAAGCCACGCCTCCTAATTCCACTCCCTTTGGGGGCCATTTTCTTTCAAGCCAACCAGATCTCGAAATCCACATGGTGGAAGGTGAAAACAAACCCTTGAAAGTTGTCCTCTGATCTCCACGTGTGTGCCATGGTATGCATGTGCCCAAATACATATATGCTTGCAGGCCAGAAGAGGGTACCAGATCTCATTACGGATGGTTGTGAGCCACCATGTGGTTGCTGGGAATTGAACTTAGGACCTCTGGAAGAACAACCAGTGCGCTTAACCGCTGAGACATCTCTCCAGCCCTACCCCCCCCCAATACATGTATAACATACACATACACACACACATAAAGTAAATAAATAAGTGTAATAAAATTACGCTGGTGGTAAAGTTATAGAGAGCAAGGCAGATTTGGTGCTGATGAAGTTTCAGCCTGACAACATAACTTTAATTACATCTATCTTACGATACTGCACATCTGCCTGAATTCATACACATCCAGAGAGATGAGTGGCAGAACGGTAACAAATTTATTATCCAACAGAATTAAAAAAGACAGTGGCAACTTAATTGAACTAGGTTATTTGTATCCTGCCAAAGATGGCAACTTAATTGAACTAGGTTATTTGTATCCTGCCAAAGATGGCGGGCAATTTTTCTTGTCATCAACGTTGTACCATACATAGTTCTCAGAAACTGTCACTTGGAGCCTAGCATGACGGTGCGTGCCTACAATCCTGGGACTCAGAAGGCAGAATTGGGAAGACAGCTGGGCCACATATCTGTTCTAGGCTGGCCTGGGCTTGGAAAACCATGTCTCAAAAATAGAAAGATGGAGGAAAGGACAGGAGAAAGGAGGGGAGTCTCTTGGGAGTATTTTATGAATTTTGAGGAAAAACTGGGAGGCAAGTGAAGAAACGGGGTTGGGGGGGAGGTAGATACTTTCTTCACAGTCAGAAAGTGAAAGTGGGTTTTTGTTTTGTTTTGTTTTTTTGTTTTGTTTTTCTTTCCTGGCAGTTTTAAGTATTGAACCTGGGGCCTCATGAGTGCTAGACAAGTCCTCGGTGACTGAAAACACCTGCCCTAAAAGCAAAGGCAGACATAATGTTGGGTCAGCGAACCACTGTAGCTTTAAGAATGAGGATAATGTAGTGAGCACAAGGATCTGGGGTGTCCCACTGTCCCTTCACAGAGGTCTCTGTACCTTGGGCAAGTAGATGAGTTTAGTGTAGAGCGTTGTTAACAACTTGGATTCTGACACTTGGGAGGTCCTCGGCATTCAGCACTTCCTCTTGCACTTTTGATGAGTCAGTCAGTCCTGTACAACAAATGTTTTGTGATACCTAGATTGTACCAGCCAATATGATGCAAGACACATGTATAAAACATGTTTGACCTTCGAGGAACCATGGATTGAGCCAGAAACATACCTACATATCTTTTGTGAAACAGCGGGAGAGAGACCTTGGTGGGTTGGAGCCGAGGGGCCCCACAGCTGGGTGAGAAAGAGACAGGCCATGCAGACACTGCAGGTGGCGGTCACGGAGGGTGGGAGCCTTGGGGACAGACACACCATGCAGGTGGCACTCACATGGAAAGTTTTAAAGTTTTATTAAGGGAAAGAGAGAGGAGGAAGAGAGAAAGTGGGCAAGGGCTGAGGAGAGGAGAAGAGGAAGAGAAGGAGGAAGAGAGGAAGTGAGGAGGTGCAGAGAGACCTGGTGGGAAGAGGGAGAAAAGAAGATAGGAAGGGGGAGGGGAAGAGAGAGGGAGTGGGGAGGGGTTTTTTTTTAAAGAGCACTTTACCTAGGATGACCTTGTCAGGACGCTGGGTGGGCCAAGGTATTGCCCACTTATTGGCTGGGTCCCCAAGGGGCGGGTCTGAATGCTAACAATATCCAGTCGTCACATTATAAAAATGATGTGAATGTAATAGCAGTGGGCATTATTAAATAATCAATGGGATTATTTGCGAAAGGACTCGGTGATGGAGAAGGCTTCTCAGGTGATACCTTTCTTCAACTATTGGAGGAGAAACAGGAGTGTGGAAGACAGAGAAAGGATAGATGACATCCAGGTAGGAAAAGAGGAAATGAACGAGCAACAGATTTCTTTCCTAAGCGGTTACAACAGAGCCTCACTGAACTGCAGGCCTTGAAAGAGTCACCAAGTCTGCCTTACTGTATGACCCTTCCCTTTACACCCTCTCCATTTGTTTGTTTTGTGTTTGGAGTTGTTTCTGACTGTCTCAAGTATCCCAGGCTGGCCTCAATCTCATTATGTCAGCAAAGAAGACTTGAGTGTGTGTGTGTGTGTGTGTGTGTGTGTGTGTGTGTGTGTGTGTGTGTGTGTGTGTGCACGCAGGATGCCCAAGCACATGTGTGTGGTGAGTGTGGAGGCCTGAAGTCAGTCTCAGGTAGTGTTCCTCTTTTATGTCTACCTTGTTTTTTGAGACCAATCTCTCACTGGCCTGGAACTCATCAAGTGTGCTAGCTGTCTGGACAGCAGCTCCCGGGGTCTGCCTGTCTCTGCCTCCCCAGTGCTAGGATTACAGTTTTGAGCCACCACACCAGGCTTTTTCCACGAGTTCTAGGGACCAAACGCAGGTCTTCATGTTTGCGTGGCAAGTCCTTGTCCAACTGAGTGGGCGTCTCAGCCCAACCTTGAACATTCTCTTCCCTTCACCTCCTGTGTGAAGGGATTACAGGGCTGTGCCACCATACAGGTCGTATCTGGTACTAGCGATTGATCAGGGCTTCCTGCATGCTAGGCTCTCTACTGACTTACATCCCCAGTCTTCTATCTGTTTTTAACCCAATTTTGTAAGAACTCTTCTGTCAAATACTTAAAAATAAAACCCCATAAATCACTGCAAGATGATATACTACCAAAGTCCTTATGTGTCTAAGAAATGCAGCTTCAATATTCTGTCCATATATGAAATGGGCCTATGTTTTAACCTCAGATATTACACCTAAGATTCTTCATATTGGATTTTTAAATTCTATTTAAATGACACTACGTTATCTTCAAATTTGATTTTGGTGTTTCATTCAAAGGAGAAAAGAGCATCGTCCTTACACAACCTTCTTTATTTTTCAGATCCATAACTCGATCCTATTACCGCAACTCAGTTGGTGGATTTTTAGTATTTGACATTACTAACCGACGGTCTTTTGAACATGTGAAAGACTGGCTAGAAGAAGCGAAAATGCACGTACAGCCTTTTCATATCATCTTCCTACTGGTGGGACATAAGTGTGATTTAGCTTCACAGCGCCAGGTGTCAAGGGAAGAAGCCGAGAAACTGTCCACAGACTGTGGAATGAAGTACATAGAAACCTCAGCCAAAGACGCTACAAATGTGGAGGAGTCCTTCACAATCTTGACAAGAGACATCTATGACCTTATTAAGAAGGGAGAGATTTGTATTCAGGATGGCTGGGAAGGGGTTAAAAGTGGTTTTGTTCCAAATACTGTGCATTCTTCTGAGGAAGCCGTGAAGCCCAGGAGAGAGTGCGTCTGCTGACTTCAACATGCCAAAGAACTATCGCAGACAGGCCATGACGCTTCTGGATAAGAGTCACCATGTACAGCAGAATGGCGCAAGGAGTGAACATCTACAAAACATCCAGACCCACAGACCCACGGTAGCACCGTCATTAGCTGCCGGATACAGGGCTCTGTGCTCACCAGTCACATGCTAACAGCTAGGGGAGTTGGCTGAGCTATGAGGAAAAGAAGGCAACTCTTTTCCTGAAACCAGCGTCTACAAGATTACATCCATTCTCACTTTCTTAGCATATAGCAGACCTTAGTGTCCAGATATGTCAGTATTATTCATCTTTCTTGACAGTTGTAAATGGATTTTTTTGTATACACGTAGTCTGGCTGAAATAAATGTATCAGGATTATACTCTCCTGAGTGAATTAAATGTACAGTGCACTCGAAGGGCCAACGAGATGACTCGGTGAGTGATAAAGCTTGACACCACATCTGTAGACTTGAGTTGGATCTCTGGAACCTCTGGGGTAGAAGGAAAGAACCCACTTCCCTTGAAGCTGTCTCCTGACTTCATTATACACGCCGTCCTGCCATACATGTGCACACAGGAATACACATGAGTGAGTGCAGGGACATACACCAAATAATGTGAAACGTGCATAAGGTACACCTTGCAGGCTGCGGCCATAGCTCGGTGGCAGAACGTTTCCTTAGCTTCTGAAAATCTAGGTTCAATCCCCAGCATCAAAACTGGGGGTTGGGCAGGGAGGCAAAATACTTGTCAGCAGTCTCAGATGTGCTGACTAGGACTGAAATAAAAATTTTCTTTTCAAAGTACCAGGTTTGCACCTCTCAGAACATAATAAAATAAGTTTTATATTCCTTTTTGTTCCTGGGTTTAATCGCTTACAATTATTGTAAGAGTCACTGAAATCTTCACTTTTGATAAGGTATGCAAGTGTTCAAAGGAGATATTTTATGCAATATTCACAGTAAACACAAAGGATCACTCAGTAGCAAATACTTTGATATTATAGTACACTGTCAAAATTTAGCCAGGAAAAACAAAAACAAATTTAGCCAAGAAAAAAATAGTGATGTTTTCAGAGGAAAAAAAAATGCAGTTTACCTTGAACTATTGTCAAAATTATCAATATGCATACAAAGTATTTTTTTCAGATTTCCAAATTATCCTATTTCCAGTGAAAGAAAAGTGGACAAGATGTTCTGAACAAGAAAAATGGTGTTAGCCACTCGATTTAGCACTCACATTTCATTTTACAATCTCATCAATAGAAGGGTAGGTAAAATACTCAGTTAAGTAAATAAAATGATGTTCAAGTTCAATTTTTTAAAAACTAGTATTATTAATTTTTTCTTTTTTTGCAGACAGTTTTGATATATAGCTGAAACCCATTTGCCTCAGTCTCCCAAATGCAGCTCCTTAATTTTTTTGGCATGAAGGTTGAGACAGGGTTTCACTCTGGTAGCCCTTGTTGGCCTCGAACTTGACACATAGACTAGGCTGGATATGAAGTCAGAGATCTGCCTGCCTCTGCCTCTGAGTGCTGGGATAAAAGGCATGCAGCTTACCATGCCTAATTTTTAATTTACTGCTTGAACATGCATGGAAGGGACATTTTGATCACAGTGTTAAATATTTTATAACATGTATACCTGTTCTATGCTATAAATCACAGAAGTGTATCGAATTAACCAATGAAAATGCCTTTTTGAGATTATAAGACTCTTATGCTTAAACCATGGTAACTTCATTTGTTTGAAAACCAAAATGGCCTAGTGTAAAGAATATTAAGCAAGCAGTCAGAGAATGTAGCTCTGAGCTAGCCTTTGCTCTGCTAGTTAGTATTCGACCATAAGAATGTCCAATGATCTCTTGAAAATCATTTTTCTGGCTTATAAAATGAACCTACTAGACTCATTTATTCAATTTTATAGAATTGTTTTGAAAACCAAATGGATGGTGTTAAAAAGCTTTGAGTGCAGAAAGTATTATACAAGTGTGCTGCTTATGCAGCAGCTTCTGGACATACCATTATATTTACAGTTGATGAGAATTTTTTTCTTGTGTTCTTTATTTCTGTGTGGAGGTACCAGAAGATGGTGTGTGTTTGAATGGACCCAAGGGAGTCCTTGGCTGGCATTGCCCTCTGTCCTTTTACCTTGAACCACTGTTGAATCATTGTTTCTCTAAAGCATAAAAAGAGAAGAAAGCCCTTGGAAAATTAATCCAGTCAAAAAGTCAATCTGAAAATGTTTTTGTGAATCTTTGAAGTAGGCATTTAATTGTATTTTAAAATATTAACACTTGTACATTTTCTAGGTTTGTGTATTTTTAATAGTGCTTATGAAGAGAATATAAATTATGTCACTATGAAAGTTTTGAATATTTATATTGTCAATATTTTCATATCCCCAGGGTATTTTGTGGGAATGAATTCAAACTGCCCCTCCCCACACATCTATTTTTACTGTTACAATTCTAAATTTTACATTACAATCTTCCATCACATCCAAAATGGTGTGTGTTTGGGTGGGAGCTCCACCTCAACCCCTGGCACCCTGGCACCCTGGCATCCCTAAACCCAAAGAGTCTGGAATGTTTGGAAGGCGTTTGGTGGAAGATCCACCTCGGCTCCTTTCCCCGTCTCTTTCCTTAAACCTGCCCCTTCAAAGCCCGCCAAACACAGCTCTGCCCCCAGGGAGGCTCAGGATGGCTCCCAGAGGGGACATGTAAGCGGCATCCCCCAAAAACAGACTGTGGTTCTTCCAGTCTCTCCTCCTTGCCTCCTCTCTGAGGGCCGGGGAATCGCCGGGAGCACTTTGCCCATTAAACCTGGGCTTTGGGTCTGATTTGGTTTGTTGTGATGGCAGAGAGGCCTTCAGGAGGCCAAAAGCTTATCAGTGTGACCTAAAATGCGGAATATCCAACAGTTTGGTCTACTTGTCAAGTGGAACAACTGAAATTTAAAGTGTGATTTCATTTACGGTGGACACCTTTCATAATAGTAATGCTGGATGAAGACTCAAGTCTGGTCTGAAGGATAAGGTGTGTTCTATGCTAGAGCAGAATTAGGAAGCTGGAAGAATAAATGGGAAGGTGGGGTCTCCAAAAGCTGACACTTGCAGGAGTAGAAACAGTCAGCTCCCAACTCTTTGATTACCAGGGTGTGTGTGTGTGTGCATGTGCGTGCGTGTGCGTGTGTGCGTGTGCGTGTGCGTGTGCGTGTGTGTGTGTGTGTGTGTGTGTGTACACGCATTCATGACTGAGGAATGTAAAAGGGCAAGTAAAGCTAGGCTGAAGTGCTTCTGCTTTACAGAGGAGTTATTTCCCACCCCCCTGCTCTCATAGAGGAGGTATCAACAGTGAGTGATAAACTTGGCATGGTGGCGCACACCTTTAATCCCAGCACTGAGGAGGCAGAGGCAGGTGGATCTCTGTGAGTTCTAGGTCAAGCCTGGTCTACAAAGTGAGTTCCCAGACAGCCAAAGCTCTTATACAGAGAAACCCTGTCTCGAAAAACCAAAAAAAAAAAAAAAAAAAAAAAGACTGCCAAATGTGAATACCCTTAACCCCAAATCTATCCATATATATACTGGATGTGTGTGTATGTTTATATACATATGTATCCATATATATTTATATTTGACCTATTTCTTATACATTGTTATAGAGGATGTGGACAAGAATGCAAAAACAGTATTTGCTCTAGGCAAAAAAGATTTTGCCCAGGTTTCTTTTTTTCTTTAGGTTTTTTTCAAGACAGGGTTTTTCTGTCTGGCAGTCCTGGAACTCACTCTGTAGACAGGTTGGCCTCGAACTCACAGAGATCTGCCTGCCTCTGTCTCCCAAATGCTGGGATTAAAGGTATATGCCACCACTACCTGGCTGCTGCCCAGGTTTCTTAGAAACCAGATACACACCTTTAATTCCAGCACTCAGGAGGCAGAGGTAGGTGGATCTCTGTGAATTTGAGGTCAGCCTGGTCTACAGATCAAGTTCTAGGACAGCCAGAGTTACATGGTAAGACCCTATCTTCAAAAAAATATATATTTTATTTTATACTAATATTACATTTAAAATTTTAAATCTTATTTAAATTTAATACTAGATGGTGTAGCTAATTACCAAATATTTTAAGTCATTAGAATTTTTTAAATGAACAAAATCTACCCAGTGTATAATAAACTTGCACCTGATTTAGAATGGCTCATCTACAGTGCTAATAATTTCAGAACATGTAATGGTGTGGTGGTTCACTGTATATAAACTTAAACAAAATTTCCAAGTAATCAGAATGCTTTTCAATGTAGTCTTTATGTTCTTTGCATCATCATAGGAGCAAGTAAGAGAGAGTTTTTGAGCCTGGAAACCTGAGGGTTTAGGGTTCCAAACACATCAAGCAACCCAAAACAGTCGTGTATTGTGAACACATCTCTTTATTGAGCTTACATCATTAAAAAACTGGATCTAGATTACTAAAGTCATTTTAAGAATGATGTTGTCTGTTTTTATACTGCCCTTGGTTCAGTGAAGAGCATAACTCTGGAAGCTTCAGAGTGCCCTGTATTTGAATAATTCCTTAGATCTGATCAAGCAAAAAGGATGAGCTAGCTAGACTAAAGATCCATTTGATAAGCTGACTCATCACTTTCCTCTTAGCTGCCTGGAAAGAGATAGATTGGAAATGCAGAGGAAACATCATATCTAGGAGAACATCACTTAGAGCTAGATCATTTATATCTTAAAATAGTAGAGTAGCAGGACCAGGTGTGGGGAAAGCAGGGTCACTACTACAGAGCAAAACCTCCTATCAGTCCATCAACAGTGGTATACGTCCAACCAGAGCTACTCTTGGAAATCCCACAGCTGATGAGTTGCCATTTATGCTTCAGAACCTTTCCAAACCTCAAATGTTTCCACCTGTCTTTTCCTGGGCAACCAATCTTCACCTGTGAAATAAGAAACGAACTGTTCTCTTGAACCTGAATGAAGTGCTGTGTGACTTCACACTTCTTGATAACGCCAGGAACTGAAGCCAGGAGACCTGGGTCATGAGCTATGGCAATCTGAATCAATCACTACACGTTCTAGTTCACCTGCTGCACACAATCATGCTAAAAAACAAAACGAAAAAGTTTTTAAAGACAGGTAACAAGTAACCTTGTTATCTCTCTGGGTAAAATGTTTGTCCCTGTTAAAATAGTGCCTAATACATTTGTTTTAACTGTGACATTCAATGACTACTAATGTGGTTATGGTGTTGAATTATGCCTTCTAAATGTGAGTTCCACATTTTTAAATTTGAGTTCCACATATTTAATTTTAACGAATACATTCTATGGAAGAATAAATGTTTTGTTGTCATAATCTCTTGGTATTTTTTTTC